TAATTTCGCTCCAAAGCCAACGGCGTAGCCGTAATCGAGTCAAGCCGATTCCCTGGAGGCTCATTGGATTACCAGGACCTAAAAGGGCCGTTAAAGTTTAATACCACCTTAGCCAGACGGTTGCGCCGCGCTTCATCCGTGAAGGCTCCGCGGCTGAGAAACCCTCTTGTGGAGAGCCCACGTTGGGTTAGTTTTAATTAGCGATTGAGGTTCGACAGTGTTAGATGCTGCATGCGGTCGTGACCCTAAGTAGTTCGGGGATGGATAAAGAGGATAGAAGGAAAGTTGTTGTTCAAGTCCATCATCTTATAAAAGTGTCGCTACATTGTTCAGTGTTGATCTTGTTACTCGTGTAATAAACACGCTCACAGCAAACATACAGAAACATAAATGAAACACAGGGACAACACAGAAGTTTCTAACTGGCAGCAAAACGGCCAATTACGCACTCTGACCTCTGGCAGGCTGTTCCCGACTTCGCGTGGCAAACAATCAAATATTTATTTTTATGCAGCAAGGGCTTATTGTGTTCGGCAAGTCGTCTTCTAGTTAGAGCGAACACGCACTGGGCGGTGTTTGCCTTTCTATCACTCTCAGAGGCTCTTCCGTGTATCTTTCGTGTATAAGAATGCTGGCGTCAGCCCGCAAAGATCATTCCGCCTCAGAGCAAAAACACGCTCTCCCTATTGGGTGGGCGTGTTTTTGCTCTGAGTTGTGAGGTCTGAGTAGATGTATACATCTACTCAGACCGCACAGCCGTTAGAGGTTGATGCATCGGTCAAACATTGAAGGATGATGGTTGAGGACTTGAGCACATCACGGGCTCGAGCACACAGTCGCGGACAATAAAAATAAAACACACACACTAGCACGTGACTCATAAGGCCTGCGACGCCATTTAACAAAAAAAAGCTCAGCCACTGTCGAGGCTTCTGCAGCTGTTCAATTCTGTCTGTCGTCACTCCATGCTTAACCAGCTCTCGCTGAGTTCATGCTAATTTCAGAGCTGAATGTTTTGGAATTCCTCGACAAAAACCAAACCCATGTCACCGGTTCGGCAGGTTGAGCGTTCAGTTTTAGGGCGTTTGATAATAAGTTCGCGGAATAAACAATGTTAAGCTGCTTCTGTTCTATTTCACCGACCACTGGTAGTATTTGTGTTAACTCAGCTCTGGTTTGCCGACCAACAACAGAACTCAAACAGCCGCTGAAATTCCGATCGTTCACTCAAAAATCTCGATGACAACTGTCTTTCGTTAGATACCATTAAAAGTCTTCTGAGCCACGCACTCGCCTGTGATTTTTCAATTTTTCCGCGACTGTACATTTACTGAAGTATAAGGGCTGGTTCACAAGGTGAAAATTTTGTGTCCGATTTCGCAGCTGCGGCACTGAGCACCGCGGCCTCTACCACGCTATTATTGCCCTCACGAGCGGTGTCGCAACTGCGAAATCGCAAGTTAAATCGCACCATGTGTATTAGGCGTGAGAGTGCATGACCAAAACCGTGGTGTCAAAAGTAACGATTTAGCGGATTCTCTACCTGGGTGTCGCCAACTTGCCTAGTACAAATCAAAGTACGACGATCTGTAAGGCTATTATACATAGCTCGCACTGACGTCACATTAGCCGCCGTTGTGGTAGTCTTGTTGCGGAGCACGTACTTCTTGCAGTACACACTTGCAGTACACAACATATTCAGCACCACTGAATATGTTTTTCCTCTCAAAGACATGTAGAGGTGACGACTAGCATAGTGCGATGACGTCACGTGCAAGCTTAGCATTCTGTTGGAGCCCAATATCGCGTTCGGTCTAATGCCAGAGCCTCACTAGAGCGACAGACGGAAACAAACGGCATCGACCAGCCTCATGCACGTGCAGCGTGCATGCGAAGGCTCCCTTGGCCGGCTTGCAGTCTCTGGGTGCTCGAGAAGTAAGCACGAGTGATCCCAAGACTGCCAAAGGTAACTTCACGCTCATGCTTCAGTGCTCGAGGCTTGTCGGTGTCCGTTGTTCTCTGTCTGTCGCTCGTGTGGGACCCGGAGATAACTGTGCCTCGCAGTGTAGAGTCTCCAGCAATAAGGAATTCCCATTGGAGAATGCAGTATCAGGCGGCTATGCAGCAATCTTTTAAGACAAGAGAGCGTCGCTTGCGATAAAAAATATAGTTAAATGAAGCTTTGTCCTTTCTCCCTCTACAATGGAAGTGTCTAAGGCCGACTAGTGCTTACGATTACCACATCAACTTTCTAGCCGAACGGATTTGTTCAAATTCTTGGAAACTGTATTTCTAATATATTTTCGTCAGTCATGTTATGCAAAATTTTTTAATCTCAAATATTAATTCCTCCACAAAGAATAATGTTTTATTTTGTTAAATTTGTGGACGGGTTTGCGCGTGAACACGTAAATGTGACGTTGGTGCGTATAAATTTTTGATCCTCTAAAATAGTACATAACTGTTTGCTATTTCTGTTTTCAATGTAGGGTGACTAATAAAATTTCCCCCGGGAAAACATCTCGATTTCTTCGGTAACAGCTTGGCAGCAGTTAACGCGCACGAAAATGCCGTCGACAGGTAATTAGCCCCCGTCAAATGGTTAGTCCCGAGGCAGGCTTCTCGTGCCGCTCCCTAGAGGCTATGGCCGGCAAATGGCCGCCGGTTCATTACCACGAGGCCATCTTTCAGTGATCTACCCTGTTTCTATAATCGTTGTTGCCACAGCAACGACCACCACCTGTTTGCATCTGCACTGCAAGGTCTGTCAGAGCCGTGTTCCGACCGCACAACAGCAGACTTTAGTACCTTTGATAAATATTTGCACCCAACGAAAGCAACAAAACGGGACCAAGCACCCGAAGGGTGATAGAGTTTATTAATAATCTAGAGCTAATTCGCAACTGCTGCGTCCAACCATCTCGGTGCGTAATGGGCAGATCACAAATGATTTCAAAAGTACATCCGGTACGGTTTTTTTTTTCTTCTTTTTTTTAAAGCAGAGATGTTAAGGGATAATTTCCCCCGGGTCGTGTACCCCCGCAAAGAAGTTAAGTCACTGAAACCTGGACGCCTACAGCCATCTATGAGCGACGGCGGCAAGCCACGTATCTGGTTGCCGCCGTCGCTCATAGATGGCGGTAGGCTTTCCATTCTGGCTTTCCGACTTGCGGCCGCCCATTAATTTCCATTTTACAGCTCCGCCAGTTTTCCTTCTTCACCCGAAAAGGGAAAGGCTGAAAGTTTTTTTTTTTTTTATTTGAGGGTTACATATGTTTTTAGTGAAGGAATTGTACCCGAATCGCGAGGCGGCGTTTCTTCATCGTTGATATGTGCACTTTTGTAGATGTCCCATCTCAATGTTTTGTTTCTGAGGTCTACGATGACACCGAAATGTCCGGCATGAGCATGATGGGAACCATTCAGATTCGCTGTATGGCAATCGTATGGCACAAAGTTTGTACCGCGGTACCTCACCACGTACGTCTGACCTACCTTCCGTTTCATACTTAATACACAACGCTGTCAAAGCTTGTGGCGCGAGCTCGGGGCTTGATCTCGCAGATCATTTGCACGCGCTCTCGCGCAAACGAAACCATGGATGAAACCATGGACGAAACCATGGATGAAACCAGTGTGAAACGGAGTGTAGTCGCAAGAGCAGCTCCGATCGGTCAGGTTATGTGCTACTGCTGTTCTACTGGTTTGCTTCGTAGAAATCAAATATCTATAGCAAATATGAACACACATTCATATAGTTGGGAACACGAGTTCGCAACCACGAACGCAGGCTCAGAGCAGGCTCAGGATAGAGCCACTAAATGAGCTTATTTAAAGGGATACTGAACCAAGGAATTTAGGTTCCATAATAAGTGGCGCCCGTTCTTTCCACGAGCCAGCAGCCGCCGGTGTGTGCGAGCACATGCGACGAAAATGACGTCGAAGACCTCCATTCGCGCTTAAGAGGACAGTGAAATGCATGGGCTTCGGGCCAAAAGAGAATAAAGCAGGCTTTTCATCTCTACAAGTGAAAGCTACGTGCTTTTTAGACCAATTAATCGCTTACCTTTTACACCAGACACCACTGTGTAGATGAAAAATTTGTCTTTATTCTCCTTTGGCCCGAAGCCCATACATTTCACTCTCATTTTAACCGCGAATGGAGGTCTTTTACGTCATTTTTGTTGCGTGTGCTCGCGCACAGCGGCGGCTGCTGGCTTGTGGAAAGAACGTGCGCCACTTATTATGGACACTAAATTCCTTGGTTCAGTATCCCTTTAATGTCACTAGCTCAGGAGGAGCCACTACATATCTTCTGAAAAGAACTGCAATTTTGGTGGTGTGCAATGCATGCTGCAGAAGCGTTGTCCAAGCTAATTGTAAGCTCGCGCTAAGCCGGAACGAACAAAATATGGCCGCCAGTGAATGCCACCTTCGGCACCACGACGCGCTTGAGCGAGAAGGAAGTCAATAATCGTCGTGCGCCATAGATAAGGAGCATTTACAAACTACGGCCGCTAAAACATAACGCAACAACCGCAAATCGCCCACTGGGACGGCTGAAAATGTACCAGAAAACCAAGACGATAAAAAAGACAGCAAGAACAAGTGACCTCGTATAGTACAAACATGACATCGGTGCACATGGTTGCCTAAAAAACAGCCACCCCGCTGAATACCCGCTGAGAAGCTGGTATAGCATTTTTAATGTTGGTTTTTGAGTAGACCGTGGTTTCGCATTATTGCTCTTATTAAGTCTCGGCAAATTGATATCAGTAATTTACTTTGGTTCGACTTTCGTCCGGAGTTACCCTTTAACCAGGGCGTACAGACGCGTACTTAAGATGCAACCAGACCAACGGCAGCTCGTTGCACGTGGATTGAAAAATTTCTGCAGGGCCCAAGAATTCGAAGACGACGACACCAAACACGGGAAAGAATGAAGTCCTTTCATTTCCAGTAATAACACGTATGGCAGCGAGAACACCGATGTAGCTACGATGCCGTCATGTTCCAAACCCGAAATTACCAGCGAGCACTTGCTGAAAACGTACGTGGACGCGAGGGAACTGACTCGCTTTGAGCAGCGCTATAACAACCATCTGCAGCACGGTCACGTGGTACCGGCCGTCCAGTACGACTACGGTCGATGTCTGATCTTAAGTCACCTTCCGGCCGACATTATCAAGGTAAGTCCAGGTCAGCGTCATTTGACATCGCAAATTGGGACGAAATTAGATGTTAAAAGCGGATGTTTCAAGTAGAAAATCTAAAATAAACTTGTATTGCACGAAGTAAGCCATAACGGAAATCAGACGTCTAACAAAGGCGATTTTACGAGACACTTAAAACAACGCATAATTTCTGTCTTACCTAGTACGCATATATTCTATCGCCATCACGCCTATAATCTCAAAACTCGGACCGAGGTGCGTTTATTCCTTGAGCCCTTAGTTGACAATCGGGTTTGTTTTATCCTCTGAATACCTTTTTTTTTGCTAGGAGCCTGCAAAAAAGGCTTCTGACAGACGTAGTTCTCACAGTCCGTCCGGTAATGCAGACGTCAAAAAATAGCCGAAGTTACTACAGTCAACAATGAGCATAGGGCAGCCAACTATGTTGAAGGGAGGGTGTAACAGTGGCGCTTGCACGCAGACTTGTACACGTTACTGAAAAAAAGTAACTGATTACAATTACAATTACTACAGTCAAAAAAGTAACCGATTACCGTTACTGATTACTGCCTCCCAGAAGTAATTGAACAATTACTGCAAAGTAATTGATTACTTTTCAAGTTACTTTCACGTTACTTCTTATTGCGATGACAGAAATACACAAATACACAGTAAAATATTGCGTACACAATTTTGTTTGGTTATTGTTCCCTTTTTTTGTTTTCAGACCCGGACCTTGTCGTGTAGCTGACGCGTCGACCTAAGGAACCAAGCCCACTAAAAAGTCAATAGCGAGTTCCCGCTTCCCGTCGACTTTATCAGCAATCTGCAACGAGATCCGGAACTCCCCAGCCAAGGCTGGTGGCGCGCTTGTAGGAGAGCGTGGCGCAAAAGAAAAAAGGATTTGCCGACTAATCCTAGTTTTATTTTTTTTAGATGTTAAAAAAATGTCAATCATTTTTGCTCCATGGCTGAGTGACTATGTTGATTTTTGTGAGAAAAAAAAATTGTGGAATGAAAAATGTAATTGGTAATTGTGTAATTGATTTTGTAATTGATTACAGAAAAAAAGTAATTGAATTACTCCGAGCGTTACAGCTTGACAAATGTAATTGAAGCGTTACAAAATTACACTTAACTGTAATTGATTACAAGTAATCAATTACTTGTAACGCGTTACGTACAAGTCTGCTTGCACGTGACACTCACGGTAAGTAGGCGCCAGCGCCATCTTGGCATATAGTTTTATCACAAAAAAAAAATGGCCGTGCAATAAGGGGTGCAAGCAAGGTGCTCTAACTGCTACTTTGAAGTCACAAGTAACGTCACTAAAAAAACTCGTAACGCCATTGTTTTCCTCTCCCTACATCGGAGTTGAAACCAGTTAGACATCGTAACATGACCATTGTAACCTGGAGTTTTAACCTGGAGCAACATTTCAAATAACCATTTTGTACAGATCTTCATGACATTTCAAAAGTGAATAGCATCTTCCGCTAAAACGTCATCGCCAACACACGCTCAATGCCGACTTACCAGTCCTCGTCATGCCAGTTTTCCCAGAGTCGATCTGCCAAAACTTCTTTATAACGCCATGAGCGCTTCTTTGTAAATAGCCAAACAAACAGCTTCGAAAAGGCAGAAAACACAAACTATAAATTCCAGATGCCAGACCACCATTTGTCTTTCTCCTTTCTCACCACAGGGAATCGTGCTGATGGAACAGCTTCTTCAGTTCGATTACAAGGCAACCAACTGTTGCTTCTTGACCGCTATTGGACACGCCAAGTTGGGAAACCACAACACGGCCCTCCAGTTCACGAAGATGCTGCTCAATAAAGAACCCAACGACCGTCAGGGACTCGAGCTTCAGGCTCGCATGAACCGCAAGATCATCAAGGAATACCTCTTTCAAATGTCCGTTGTCGGAGGAGCGGTAGTTATAATGGGAGTTCTTATATCCGTGGTGCTCACCAGGCATCGCCGTTAACGGTTTACGGGACAAGAATCTTCAGCACTCTTCTCAGCTTTGTTACTCTTCGCAAGATGACATCAATGGGTGCTCAACAACAGGCTGTCATCGCTTATACACCTCCAAAGTGCAAATTCAAGTAAATTCATGCCGCCTTCTGCCCATGTATAAGAATTAAGATCATTAAAACTAGTTTTTCGGGAGTCGGCAATCGCTTCATCAGTTCGGTACGAACGTCTTACCTTGTTTATTCCCATCTGCATGGTGTTGGTGGGTATTATCACTGACATCTTCAAAGGGTATTTCGGCGTTATTTTTAGCTTACCCGATTAACAATGTTTTCCGGGTCCTCGGCCTTTATCCTTTCGAGTATACTATTTAGTGTCGCGAAATTCGGAATAGGTATAGTAAAATCGTCAAATGAAAATCATGCCAAAACCAACATTGAAATTTACCCAGGCTTTCCAGTACGGTGACGTCAGTAGAAGGCAAGCTCGCCAGTCAAACTAGCAGTCTAAAAATGTAACTATGTTAAGCATTTGCTTTGTGATGCTGCGGGGGTGCTAGAGCGAGCTTCCAAAGCATTCATTTTACACCATGAAACTGCTTGCAATCAGTTGAGAACAAATCCTACAGTTCAAAGCCTCAACCCTTGCCGGCCGCTGGGGTCACTTTTTCGTGGTTGCCAGTCGAGACTTTCAATTTGGAAAACACGATGAGGACCAATATTTGGAATTCAATAACTTAGCGAAAAAAAAACATATATTATTCTAATATTTGCGACACTATTTCAGTGATGTGTGTTGGTGTGTTTAGAAAATTTCAAAGAAATCGGGACCACAAAGAAAACGTCAGAGCACCCCTTTAAGCAGCGCAAGACGCGGCTTACTAGGTTCAGGCTTCTATACTCGTTTTCGCCTCAAGAAAAAGTGTGCATTGTTCATGCGCCGAGCGAAGCGGTCCTTAGATGATTTGGTTAAAAAATTATCAACGTGCAGGCGCACTGGTGCGTATTATTAGTGATGTTCAACCCCTCAGACTGGTAGGAAAACTTGAAGATATATTAGAAGGTACAGAAGAAAGGTGAGAGACAAGCGTCTTAAGTTTTTAGACGCTTGTCTGTCACATTTCTTCTCTCCCGTCTATTGTATCTTCAGGTTTCCTTCCCAGTCTCAGGGTATAAACATCGTGGTTAGGGTTTGGTTGTCCTCTTTGGCGTTTATAAAGTGTACGTCCTTATAATATAACAATATGGGATCCAAAGCGCACCTATATATATATCTCATGGTATAAACATCATGGTTAAAGGGGTGATGAAACAATTTTCCTACTTCTTCCTTCTTAGCTTTAATCCTCAACTCAAATGCAAGTTGTGAAATCACGTCGTCGTGACATTCCTCGGCACCGGTGCGATGACTCCTAGCTTCCACCGTGCTTTTTATGCACCACCATAGAACTTAACGTTCCCCAGTGACGATAAGTTCCGTCAGGGCACTCATTGGCCACGAGCGCGAATCCAAATATTCGTCTGCGGATTGATTGTTGACGAGCGCATACGTCCGAGTGACGCAGTTCTCGTGTCCAATGCGTGAGCTGGGCTCGGCTGACGTCATGTTGGCACCGCTGACGCGCTTAGGAACCGCGGATGTATCATAGTGAAAATGCCGAGAGCTTTCGAAGGAAAGAAGGTAGAAAATAGTCCGCTATGTTTTCAAATGTTCGTTCCGAAAAGCTGGCTTTTGACTTTCTACCCTCTTTCTTTTGGCCAATTAAACGATATGCGATTACTAAAGTCCCAAATTTAAAATCATTCATCCCAGCCCAAAATTCGTTTCATGGCTCCTTTAAGGTTCGGTTGTCCCTTTTGGCGTTGAAAAAGTGTACGTCCGTATAAGATAACAATATGCGATCTAAAACGCACCTATATATATCTTAAAATGGTTGTCAAACGATTTTCCTACTTTTGCTAAATACACTTAGAATCACTCCCTAACGTTAATAACTCAAAAACTTTGCCTTCGTCTTTCTTTCTAGACAGTAGTAGTCGCCAAAAAAATGCGAGAAGTATGAGCATCGTTCATCCCCTCAACTCGGAGTCAGAACACGCCGCCACGTGGCCTTGTGCACATCCTATATGCCGGCAACGTTAATCATAGTCACGCGCTGAGGTTGGCAAAGTAGAAAACGCGTGCTGAGCTCCAGAGGCTGTTAGAGTTCGGCTATTCACATCATCGCAGAGGCTGGACACGAGCCCCTAACTGAGTGTCCGCCGAGACAGTGACTTTTACGAACCGAAGTCGAGTGCTCACGCAGTTCTCGCGTTCAATCCATGAGCCGCGCTCGACTGGCGTCGGTTGACAATTACGTCGTCATCAAGCTTCGCGAAGGCATGACTGCAAGAAATAGTCCCCTTTTATCCTCGCAATTTCACCGCTACTGAAAGCTTCTGAATCAGTGGCGGTCTGTGCGAGCGTACTTGGGCCAGACAAGGATCTGTACGGATCTGCAAAGTCATGAACATTCCACCCCGATATCGTTTCATGACCCATTTGATTCTCTGCATAAAGGGGCAAATTACTAATACTCCGTGAGGAGCTAGGCTTTTTTTTTTTTTTACTGCGGTTCCTGAGTTGAAAACGAGTATAGCTCTTGATTCGCTCGCTCTCCGGCGTTCTTACCAGCTAATAACGCAACCTCATTGATTCAATAATATTATGTTCGGGACTCACCACCCCTTGCCTTTCTTAACCGGTCATTGACGATGGTGTGATTTTAGTTATGTACATATTGACGCATGTTGCTTAATCACGTCTGGTAGACGTGCATGAAATGTAGCCACAATCAAGTTTTGTTTGTGCAAACTGTTTCGCTACGGTCGAGGTCAACGTAGAACTCCTGAACCCTCTGTAGGTCTAATTCATCTAAACCACTCTGAACAAATAGCAAATTGCCTCATATCGTACTCTGATGTACCACAATAGCCTGGATAGGTGAATCAGTATTGTTGTTGTTGATGCTGTTTTTGTTGAATAAAAATAAAGCGATTTTCTTTATCCAAACTCACAAATAAAAATCAAACTTTTTGTATGGATCAATATTCAGTTGAACTTTCTCAGTTAAAGGTAGAAACGCGTTTCTGTGAACTTCCCGGGGAACTTTGTTAAACCAAGAGGGACGACAGCAAAATCAGGAATATATGTTTTTTTGTGTTTTTTTTTTTTGCCTACTGTTTTTGTTGAATCAAACTTCCCGATAGGCAGCTGTAGTATCGTCGAGTCATTCGACTTTTTCCTTAATGCGTTATCGCATTTTTTTCTAGAGCACACAAATGTATATTTTTTTCTAGAGATTTCCTCAGGCTAAAACCACATTCCCACATGTCTAATAGTCATAAATTAGAATGTGAAGACATTTTCGCGAAGTGCCAGGGACTGTCGGGCTTCGCCCGCCAGTTTTTATGGGTGTGTTTGTTTTTACGCGTGATATGTTTTATGTTAGCGTTTAAAAAAAAATGGGCCACAAAACTGTGAAGCAAAATAGCGAGGCGTAATTTCCACGATAAAGTTTGTGGTAAAACCTTGATTCTTTTGTAGTTATACAAATTTTCAATTTAACAAAATACTTAGCGGGAGAACTCTTCACCTCCGAAACGTAACAAAGATGAAACAAATTCCACCTCGTGTCCTGTCAGTCAGTAAGCGTTTTATTAGTGAGTAAAATCAGGGCTGCTTTACACATATCCCATAGGCTTCTCCCTTTTGCTACATAGATGAAGCAACCGCAGTCATTGATTTCTTTTTTTTTTGCGCTTGGTTTCGTTATCCTCAGTGCCAGCTGGATTGCCAGTGGCCCTGTGGAAGCAAAATTAAATTGCAGTCCTGGTTATATACGAATAAAAATAGCTCTGTTGGAAACCAAAAAAACTGTGTAACTTCTATCTAACAGCTAAAGAACAAAGAGGGTATCTAATATCCTAAATATTAGGAATAATAATATTACTTTGTATTATTTTACAAGCCTCGGTTTTGTTCCTATGATGTATCGCTTTACAAGTCCAATGGATAGCTCATTTCGCAAACCCGTATATTACTCATAGCGTGCTTATTCAATGTAGCTAACGTAACATTAGAGTTCTATTTCAACCAGGAGGCATGACCCGATGATTCTTTTAATAAAAATCGTGAAAGCGGGATTGGTTGTGATCTTGAACAGGAGCTACTATAAGCAATTCTTTTGTTTTGTTCTATTTAAGAATTCTACTTAGAGAACAAAGAGGCTACTACAGGAACTCTTGCTAACATTAAAAACGCTGGCTCTTCTAGGATGTCTCTTGTTTCGACAAAGTGACTACCTTGGTAAAAGTTTGAACGAGCTTTTAGGTTCTAATTGATATCGTTGAATGTCATTTGTCGAGCTTTGTTTTATGTAAACCATAGTGTCAGTTTTATATTCAGCTTTATTTCGACAAGGAAAATTTGACATCGAAGATATTTTAGTAAACATGCGCATTAGTTACCCTGCTGTTGAATACAAAATCGGTTAGTACTTCTGAAATAAATTTCAAGAAGAAACATTTGAGTCTTGTATATAAATAAGAAATTATTAATGTTCCAATATTTTCATTTTTCGGACGCAGATAGCTAGTCATTTCAGGCGGACAATCATCTTTAGAAACAAATTTGATCTACGTCGTTTTAATCGAATTTTTTCTTACCTAGCTGCATAACTAAGCTTATTTATTTTTCGACTTTATTTCATCAGTATTAAACTAATATTTTACGCTAAAAATAAAACTATTTCTCTAAAAAATAGCTTTCGTAAATGATGTAATTTGAATCAATCACTAGAACTCCGACGCATAAGGTATCCTTGCAAAGGTAGGCGAAAGACAACTGCGCGCTGTCATCTTAATAAAAACAATATTTTTTAGTCTTATTAGAAAAAATATTCCAGTTAATACAAAATATCTCATTTAATAATATCCTTACCTACATAAATCGTTTTAATAACTCAGCAGG